AGTGAAAAACCAAAAAGGAAGGGGAGGACCCTTAGAGACAGGGCTTGCCACACACACATAATTACGACCACAAGCCGATAGGCTAGGCTGAAGTGCTTGACGGGCGAACGAAGTGAGTATTAGGGGGTGCGGGGTGGTTGCGAGGTCATACCTTTTTCGGGTAGGGTGAACCCAGAGCCTGGTTGGTGCCTTGGTGCTGCGAGTGATGCCAAAAGGTTTATAGTGCATCATTAGCATCACAAAGTGGCCACAACAATCATGGACGTGGGGCTGCAAAGACTCCTCAGTGGGCCGTGGGCGGAAACGCATCGAGACTAATGTGCTCAAGGAAAAGGGTATGTGTGGCGGTGCCCTTTTCGATCGTTTTGTCGCGGGTTTGGGGAAGACAAAAGGGCACCAGCAAAGGAGTGCTATCTTCTGGGATCTAGCTAGGTCTCCCCAAGCAGCTGTAAAGATCTGTAAAGAAAATACTTTGAAAGACGATGTTTGCGGTCTGTTTGAAGGGCATGTGTGGTCCAGTGGTGGTGCCCCTGTTGATCGTTTTGTCATAGTTTTGAGGTAGAAAAGGGCACCAGCAAAGGAATACTACTTTCAGGATCTAGCTAGGTGCCTCCAAGCAGCCGCAAAGAAAATACATGAAAGGCTTTGTTGTAGTTCCCAGTCTATACGAGGGCGGGCTTTCGTCCCTTCCCTCCCAGGTGTGCACAATGCATAATACACACAAACATATATAAGGTGGAAGTACCAGTGCCTGATTCTAATTGGTTAGTGTTCCTAAGAAACCATTTTTTTGTACATGTCATTGCTTAACCAGCCTTGGAAGTGCAGAAATGTTTTTTCTTCTCTTGGGACGCGCTGAAGAGGCTTTTACAGCTTTTTGAATTCGTGACCAACAGGTTTTGTGTTAAGCCTCCCAGACCCAACTTGATCAATTCCCGTTTTTCCCCTGTCAGCTTTGCCATCGCAGACCGCCCTAAGCTTTCGCCCCCAGAAAGATCCGCCGACTTCTCTGAGATGTGAACGTCGCGGTGGAGGAGGCTGCGAAGTTCAATCGGTACCAGGAGGTGTTGAAGTTGGAGTCAGAGTCTCAGCACTGGGCCATGCCGCCTGAAAGCGGCTCTCGCTTCGGAGTCCACAGACTGTGGAGCGCGAAGTGAAGTGGGCAAGAGCGGCTAGAAACAGGAAAGCACGAGCTGTTGCGATGTCAGGTTCATGTATTTGTATTTAGCATGCTCATGCATCAGCCACAAACATAGATTGACTTCCAAGTTTGTAGCTGACAACAAATTGTGGTGTACTCTTGTGGCGCTGAAAGACCAGGCTTGTCGGAAACCATCAGTCCTGAGAGCTTCGAACTTCCACAGGAGGCAATTTGTGCCAAGACCGGGTTTCGGCTCACCCAGTTTCACCATGCTTCACCTTTGCGAAGCTGACCAGGCCTACTCCCTTCGAAGATGTGGAGGAGCTCAAGGCCAGGGCATTCTGCCCGGTACACGGAGCGCTCCCAGTGTCAACACGTGACCGTCGCTTTTCTTTGAAGCCACAAGACTCCATCAGGGACCTGTAGAATGGAGTCCGCAATCCACTGTTTGGAGGTCTTCCAATGTTAGACACACTCAGTAAATTTGACAATTGGATGCAGGTTTACACCTGGCCTAAGATTTGCTCCTGGCCTTAGACCCAACCCTGGTGTGGCCAAAAGCCCAAGAGAAGCTGCTGATCAGACCCGCCATGCTTGAAACTCAATCCCGACCAACGAGGATTTTGTGGAATGACATGGATATGGACATCTTTGGAACAAATCATCTTCAAAGGCCTCCAGTCCGAAGAGTTAGGCCAGTTAGCAGCATGGTGGTTCCATCCAGCCCATGGGGTGGGGTGCTCCATCCAACCCCTCCCAGGCCTCCTTCCAGATCCGTGCGAAGCCTGTAGCCTCGGATTCTTCAGGGCGGGCCGGACAGACCGAGGATGCATCCGAGGATGTCTGGGTTCGAAAAAGACCCAAGACGGGTGATCCAAGTGAAACCAAGCATCACCTCAGATCCACCTGGTGTCAAAAGAGCATGTTTCAGGAGGGGATGTGATCAGAGACACTCTGGCATCTAAAACTATTCAAGCCCTTAGCGCAGTTTGGAGGTTGTCCTGGGACAAATTCATGTGGGGTTACATGAGCTTATGTACGGAGGCCACCGCCAGGAAGCCAGCCTCCTGAGTTGACCACTAAAACAACTTCTTCAGATACACATCAAATAAACGTCAAGCAGAACTCATCAGATTCATCGGTTTCTCATGGGTTTCTGCATTTCTTCCGTTTGATCTTCAGGTTGTGGCGAGGGATCGATGCATGGGAAGAGTTCGGTGGCCTGAGCCACTGTTCGCTTCGGATGAGTCGGAAGAGAGGTTCTGCAGAGCAATTCTCAAACAGAACACGTTTTGTCGCACACTGTTTGTGTCCTGTAGGGTCAGCGAACAGGTTCGCAGCGGGAAGCGATGTCGGCCACCAACGGGCAATGAACGAAAAGGCATCACGACCAGGGGGTGACCTGACAGGATGAAGGAGGCACCCGGTGGCCGGCTGAATCCATCCAAGCTGCTTACTGACGGAAGTGATGAACCCACAACATGTGTTTATCTTTGTCTCAGTGAAGGTAAGGCAAGCCACCAGAACTGTGGGTTTTAGTATGGCGGCGTGCGGTAAATCATCCCTTCAAGAGAACGTCTAGTACCCTGCAAAGATCTTCAGGTTTTGACTTGTGCCTCGAAGAATCTGTGCTCAGGCTGAGTGCTGAGTGGAACAACTGCAGTTTTGGGACTGTGGATGTCGATACCATCACCAAAAAAGTGGCTGAGTACAACAAGGCGAAGCCTGGTGACCTTGTGTTGGGCTAGCGGCTAGCGTTGCAGAATGATGGATAATCAGATAGAATATGAAGAGAAAGGACTGCCTTTCTGTGCTTGAAGAAAAATGGCTGCCAACACTTGAGCAAGTGCTCACTCCTCACCAGGATAAAAACGACCCCCCAAAGTATCCTTCCTTTTTAGCAGTTCAGACCTCTTCGCCTTCACCTTTTTCTTCTTCGTTCCCTTCTTTGGGCTAAACTCACATCGCCGTTTTCTTCAATCCAGCGGTGCCCGTGGCGGTGCCCGTGGCGCACGCTGGTAGGTGGCGGTGCAGTCAGTGAAGGCCATGCCGGAGAATCAGGTGCCGCAGATCTGGGGAGAGTCCGTCACCCAGCCCGGCGCCCTAAAAAGGCGTGAAGAGCACCGGCTGGCCATGGAAAGTGGGCGGAGTGATGGTGCGGGCGGATGGAGATGTGGAGATCAAAACAACAAAGACATGAGTGAGAGTTCTGAGTCTCTGAGCCAAGTCTACTTCTGTTGAGGCACTTGAACTTTCGAGCCATTTCACATTATGGAAGAGCTCCAATATTTTTGTGAATGCATGCATTAATGTGTCTTACACGCAAGAGCGTGGAAAATGACTTGGTGCTTGAACTGCTGCAGGCCTGACCGCTTATTTGGTGAATCTCTCAAAGCACCGATCCAATTCCCCTAAGTTGCTGAGGTTCAAAAACACACTTCCAGTGGTGGTCGCCTTGCGCAACAAAGCCTTGAAGCTGCCTGGAGGGTATGGGCTGGATAGACGAGAGAAGTGAAGCGAGGGAAAGGGCTGATTCTTTCCGATGCCTTTTTTCAGTGGAAAGCATAACTGGTTGCTTGGGAATGGTTGGTAAGGTGAACTCCAATGTGTGACCACCTTTGTCAGTGTCCAAAGGTTTCTCAGAAAACGACCTGCCTTTCGTAGGTTGGATCTTCCTCCGGCAGCGTTGCCCCCTTTTTCGTAGATGTTCAGGTGCCATAGATACATTGGAAAGCGGATCTGGCTTCCGCCTTCCACAGCATTGGCACTGTGATGAAGATCCAAACTCATTGACAGTGAGTGCATCTCGACTGACCGGCCTCCGAACCGCCTGGGTGTTCCCCGAAGGCCACGACACTGGGAGGTCATTACCTCTATGATTGGTACACCTGGCCAGCTTTTTCAGAGGGCGAACAGAGTGCAACTTGCAGTGAAAGCAAGGGCTTTGCAATTGAATCAAGGGCGTTCATTGCTTTGGTGGCTCCTGCGAACAAAGCGAAGACGAGCCGAGCAAAAAAGGCCTCATGTGGCAGGTCAAGAGCTGGATTTGGAAGATGAAGAGTCCGTATTCTCAGCAGTGCGGGCAGATTCTGAGTTTGAGACGTGAGATTTGTGTGGCCCTTTCTGGTGTGGTTTGGTCACAGCGCCCTATAAAAGGGAATAACAGCTGTGGGGGATTCTGAACTTACGCATTGGTTTTCTTTTCTGGAAAGCTGTGCAAAGCCATTGTCTTTGGTCGAGCAGCCTTCTTTGTCTGTGTGTTTGTGTTTGATTGTGTTTGGTGTAAAGAGAGGAGACACATTCTACCTAGAGTTTGGCCTTTTTGTGTGTTCTCACTTGCTGAAGAGAGATCTTGGGCAGGTTCACCCTTGGTGGTCTGCTGGCCATGGGCTTTGACCTTGGATCTGACCTTGTCGCCCGTGGGTCAGAACCGGAGGTTTGGCTTCGAACATCTTCCGACAACGTGTCATGCATTCAGTTTTATCAATAGAAAAGGCGCCTCAGCTATTTTCAGGCGGGATTATTCATCAAAAGCTCTTCAACCTGCCTGTTCGGATCTTTTCAGCTGGATTATTCTTTTCCTGCTTTTTCACCAGAGAAGAATCTCGTGAGGTGTGGACCAACACATGGAAGCCATCATGGATGTCTCTGGCAAGGTCCGGAACCTTTGGAGCAAGGACTCGCATAGGCTCTGAATCAGCTCTGGGGTAAACTCGCACCAATCGACCAGGCAACAGCAGAGCAAGGACTTGAAGAAATGCTCGACAAGGTGAAGAAGCCAGCGCCTCAGAACTCCTAAGCTGTACCGCATACCTAGCTGGTTCTGATGGGAAAAAAACGACGAACGGTGCGTCAACGCGTCAACCTGAGACGCATCGATCTGGCGTTTTTTTTTTTGTTTTTATTCTATATTTTAACGTCCGTATTATCGTATTCATTTTCTTCTTGCCTGACTGCGAGCAGGAACATCCAATCTTCTTTCTATTTCAGACTCCTTGGTTTAGGGCAGAAACATGTAACAACCTCTCGACAACAGTCGGAATGCGTAAGAAACAAAGAGTGTCTTGCAAGGACGTGGGAGGATTTGGAGCTTGTGATCAACCCCTACAAGGACTTTGCATCCGCCCCGGTGCTTGAGAAGAGCACACCATCAGCGGTTGGTGGGCAAGTAGCTGTCTTGGACTTGCAGAAATGGCCTTTGATCAAAACAAAGGACCTGGCCAACAGATTCACACAGAATCCAACAGAGGTGATTTCTGAATTTATGATTGAGGACCAGCAAGTGTAGACAGCATAGAACTGAGTGGTGACATTTCAAGCCTTTGAAGATTCAACCATGCCCTGATCATTGGAACACACCCATTTTGAGGTACATTTGGAATCATCTAGATATTTCGACTCACTTTCTCTTTGGTCAGTGAAGCCATAGGATGAACAAGTTCCGTGTCACTGGTTCTCTGAGGACTCCCGTCCTATCCACTTCCATTCCAGTCCTGATATTGTTTGAATGGAAGGATTTTGGGACTGATTTTCACTTACATCTTTTAGGACTGATTCTTTTTTAGGACAGCAAAGATGTCTTCGTGCTCGGCTCGATCGAAGACATCACTGTTGCCTTGGAAGACTCCTTGGTGACGATCTCCACCATCGTTTCTTGGTGTCGACTCTGAGTGCAAAGGAGGAGAGGGATCTCGGGTTGGCGAATGACCCGGAAAGAAACAGGTTGATTTGTTGATCGAGAAGGTCTACAGGAAGATCAGGAAGATCATAGGATATATGAGAGTACCCGATGTGCCAAAAGTCTAGGTCAATTTTTCCTTCATTTGTCGAAAGCCAAGGCTGGAAGTCGATACGTGGGCCCCATCCGCGCGGAGGTGCGCCAGAAAGCCATGCAAAGCCACGCATGGTGGGCCGCTCTGCGCTGCCCTGCGTGTATCAAAGAACTACTGACCTGTTCCGAAAGCAACATGCATGTATAGCATGCTTTGCAGTACCAAACTGGGCTTTAAACAAATGTCTTGGCGCACCCACTACAAAGTTTCCAGTCGCCCAATGAATCTGTCGTTCACTGAAAAAGCACCAGGGGCCCGGCCCGAAATCCCGAAAGGCAAGTTCTCGTTTGTTTCATCCTTCGAGAAATGAATGTTTAGAGAGGACTTGTGCATTTTTGAAACAACCATGTTCTTCTCATTTTGAAACTTGAATCCCTGGTGACCAGGTGGAACAATGGCAGAAGGATTTGCTGCTCTTCCAGGACAGAGTTCTCATGAAACATGTGGGCCTCCTATGGTGATTTTTCAGTTCCATCCTGCACCAGTGGGAGAAGGTTCGGAATGGTGCTTGGAAGACTTATACAGTATTTACTAGTATGTGCTTCTTTTTGATTTTCTATGTATTTATACACAGTCATGGGTGTTGAGTTCAGATGATGCAATGTATGTAAATATTAATATTAATATCAATATGTAGTTGTATGTAGTTGTTTCTTTTTCTATATCGAGGTTGGACTCAAAACAGACATGCCATTTTCCAGGAGACATTGGATGAGTGGCTCAACGTACAGAGAAATTGGATGTACTTAGAGTGCCATGGCAGCACCTCTGAAGCCTTCAAAGAGTTTTGAGATTGACACGTGCTATCACGTGCTTGTAAACAAAAAGAGTGCACAAATGAACACTTCTCCTGGAGCAAAGTGTGGCGTATCATATTAGTGGATATGACTTCTTACTGACACTGTAGCCCGTACTTGATGAGGTGTTTTTTCTCCATGTGTGTTTTCTCGCCCTTCAAGGTCTTCCCCTCAAAGCAGAGACTCTTCACATGATCTTCCCCTAAGGTCCATTTTTAATGCTGGCGACATCAAGAAGCAACTGCCTGGAGAAAGTGCCAAGTTTCAAGAGATCGTTGCTCGGCAACGTCTCCATGCCGTCGTCATGCGAAAAGAAAATCGTCATCTGATCATTGGACTTTTTGAATCGTCATCGTCATGGGTTTCAGAGTAGTTGACGCAATCCTCAAAAGTTTGTTTATATAGACTCATGGACCCCTTATTTGTTCAAGACATCTTGGGGTGTTGGGGTACCATCTACTCGGATCAACCACCGCTCGACCGTTGCAGCATCAAACCACTGCTCGACCTTTGACATATATAATAGCCTTGTAGAGCTTGCCCATTTGTATTTGATGGAAAGACAAGCTTGCCCAATGGAACGTGGATTGATAGGATCACAATCACCAGAACATTGGACCAGAAGTACATCTGCACGAGTGGGCCAACACTGCTGTCTCATGTCATGGTGATCAACTTCTTTCCCTCCCCTCCCCTCCCTCCCTTGCTCTTTTTGTCAGTCTCAGAGCTTGCGCTCCGTGTGAGCCACGCAACTCAGGATGTTCAGTGGCGACAAATCATGAAGGACCGATTCGCTGTGGAGACCGAGTTCGCAAACTTGACTCAGTTCGCCGGCCTGGGATGTCTCCCTAAAGCTACCCAACACCCATTTGGTTTGAAAGACTTCAGATCGAAGGATTCAAAGAATTGGATTGACGGAATCGTTGAAAGACAACATTGGGTGCAGAGCTGCAACACAGCTTCAGCAGAGCGGGAAAGGAGAGGAAGAATGAGGAAGAAAGGAGAGGTTCTCTCATGCTCTTCGCTACTAGTAACAAGTGCCACGCTAGTAGTAACAAGTGCCACGCTAGTAGTAGCAGGTGCCTTACTAGTAGTAACAAGGTTCGCTACTAGTAACAAGTGCCGAGTACAGAGGTCTCACCTCTGAGACCCGATTTCCCGTCCGAGGAGACCTACGAGTACGCCGTGGCGTTGAAAGCTGCGACCAAGCCGGGGAGACTGGAGCTTTTTAAGGCCGATGTGGGCTGTAGCTCAATGGGTCTTGCGAGGGCGAGGCTCCAGTTTTTGATAAAGACATATGGGGATGTAAAGCTCAAACAAAGACAGAAGATTTCCCAGGTATCAACCCTCTGAAAGAAGGAGAATCATCTACAATGGTGTTCAGGTGACGTCTTTTGGCGCCTGTCATGCAAACAACCTTTGCAAAACATCGATAGTTGAGCTTGGAGTCATGCAATGTTGGTCGTTTTTTCTAGAAGGCCTCATGCGCGAAGACCGGTCCTTCGCACGAAGGGCCCGGGCCCGGTGCCAACAGGAAGAAACAACAGGTGGACACATACGTGCCTGTTGGGAGCGTTCGCGGGAGCGCAGCACGTACGGTCCCTAGCCTACTCACAGCCTATCAAGTGCTTAAATAGCAGGGTTCGAGGAGGGAGCAAGGGGGATGGAGCCCCAGACCAAATCGCAGGCAACGCTTTTCCTCGGACAAAATTCTTGAAGGTCAGAAACAAGTAAACTTTACACATGTGCAACATTTTTTGGCAGATTTTTGGCATTCCGACATCACACCAGCATCGCCCAGCCCTTACCGGAACACGCCGGCTCCGCTCGCTAATGCTCATGTTCATCATCCTAGACCGAGATAACCAAGAGATCTACACTATCACTATATATGAGTTTTCCTTGTTCTGCATTTGCCACAAAACGTGTACGGAGTGCCAGCGCCACCAACCTGCCAGAAAGCAAGTGAGACCTTGGATCAGATCCAGAAGCAGTTGGAGGACAATTCTTTTTTGAGTTTTGGCCTCTCCACGGCCTCTCCTTTGCCACAGGTGGATAGAATTGGATAAACAGAAGTATGATGTGATATGGTTCAAAGGACAAGACGCAGGGACCCAAGGACCCGTAGGTTGCAGATATAATGTATGCCGCTGTGACTTTTCATCCGATCTTGTAAGTTGGCCATTTTCTGCTATTCGATGTTTACAACGTCATCACGCCATGCCTCCCATGAATCAGCATGTTTCGCACCGAATCGGACACTTCCTTGAAGCGTTCAATCAACTTGAGCTTTCATTTCAAGGACTATCTCCTCTCCAAGTGTGTGGCCTTCCCACGCTTCTTCTTTCTCTCCAATGTCAGGGACGCAGAACATTTGACAAAACGTCTCATAGACTCAGTGAGACTAAGTGGTGGATTGGATCAGCCCGGATTTCGTTTCCTATGGTTGTGAGATGATTTGACATGTTTAAATTGTCTTTTAGATTTTAAACTATGTTCGAAGATTTTCAACGATTTCTGAAGATTTAAACATATTTCCAAAGATTTGTATATCAAGATCTTTTTGAATCTATTTCATAAGAGATATTTTGTCTTCGATTCATCTATTCTATTTCTAGTTATCTACATTTATTTGGTATTATGATACTCTATTTGTATTTATTTGTTTTTACCTCCTATTTTTATTTTATAAAACATATATTTATTTGAACAACCATTGCTGATCTAGACCACTTGACATGTGCACCACCACGTAGCGCCAGTGATAGACGGCTTTGTGGGTGTAGATGCAACTGCCCCCACACCCTGGGTGACTGAAGTGTAGCTGATGAAGATCATGAACTGATGCACATTCACTGGCTGCAGCACCTCACCTGAGCACCCTTGTCGCAGATTCAAAGGCGAATTTCTGGTGTTCACTACTTAATTCAAGAAATCGTTCAAAAAATCTTCAATCTGACAATCCCTTATTCATTCGGGATCTTGACACTCCTGATTTGGATAGTTGTTCGGAGACCCGCTTTCTGCACCTTGCTGAGACTGGTGATTTGTTGAAGCTTAGCCAACCACCTTCCAGGGAGTCGTTGCCAGGAGTCGGTCGTCGGTCTTCTTATTTGAGCTAATTATACACCCTCCATCACTGCAGTAGATGGTGATTCCATGCACATCGGACCATCAAAGAGTAGCTTTGACTTCAAAGCGGAGAACGAGAAGCTTGTGCCAGTGCAAGTCATTCGATCATAGACTTCAGGCGGTGAAGAAGGGCGCCAGGATGCTCCAACACAAACCATTGTTTCGCGTCTTAAATGGCTTAGAGCCCTCGCTGGTCTTGCCTAAGGACGAACTCTTGGAGATTCTCTCCCAAGCAAAGAGACCCCAGGTGAAGCCTGCGAGCGGTGTATGATGCGGGGAAGTGTTTTAGTCTTGGCCAGATGGTGTGATGTCGCAAGGTTGTTTATTTCTTAAGAAAGTATTGGAAGCACCCAGACTTTGAGCCTGTCGTTTAGATTGGACTTGCCCTACTAGGTTTGTACTGGAGGCCAAAATTGGCTGATTCGACTCGCACAAAAAGAGCCTCATCACCCTGGAACATGGGACCAACAGAACGTACAATTGCCTACTGTACTACACTGCACTAGTAGTTTTCTTCGCAGTGCCATTTGGGCAGTTGTTATCTGGAAGTATTTGGACTTTCCGGAAGTGAACAATAAACAGGTTCAATTAACAAGCGAGTGGTTGGACGGGTGGGAAGAATTGGCTGTTTCTTAAATTCAAGCAACAGGTGGTGAGGCAAAACAAAGTGACAAACTGCACGTGCATTGGCAGGCCGTCCAGCCACATCTCCGAAAGTGCTTTGATAATTTGGTGAAGCTGAAGTTGGGAAGCCTAGATGCCAGAATAACTTGGATTTTCAAAGAGAAAAACAGAAAAACCGTGCAAGCAAACCTTGGCAAACTGCACTGCCAGGAGTGCCCCTCAGGTACATTTACTATGCACTGCATACGCCTCCAAAATCGAACATCTTCCAGCAATGCATCCAAGTGGATAGACCATCCCAAACATCCAAGTCGGGACGGGAGTTCCTCCCCTCTTTGATGCCTTCGTGCTCGGACGCGTTGGTGCGTTCCACCGGACTCGGATCCACGGGATGACCCCCCGGCCGCGACGGTGACACCTGGGCCCGGGGCGCAGCTGGAGTTTGTGGCTCTGAGGTTTGGGGACGGAGCCAATTCCACAGACATCCATGCCATGATCTCCGGCGAAGGCGAAGAGATCCCCTTCTACAAGATGCTCAAGGCGCGGCGAGTTGAGGGTCGAGTCAAGAGACTCAGGAAAAAGAGTCGGCGCAGCGGCGCAACGCAGAGAGTTGATGGTGTTTTTCAGCTGGCCAGCTATCTCAGACAGCCACAGAACTCCAAGGGGTTGAAGGCATCTCAGCAGGAGCAAAGGCCCAGGATGACCCATGGCTTTTGCCGCATCAAGGCATCAGGGCCAATTGTGAGTGCTCATAGGTTTGAATATGTTTGAATGCTACTAGGTTGGAGGCCATCACTAGTAGGTTGGAGGCCATCGTTAGTAGGTTAGTAGGTTGGAGGCCATCGCTAGTAGGTTGGAGGCCATCGCTATTAGGATGGAGGCCATCGCTAATAGCTCTTGCTGGGCTCCTTCTAGGGTGTAAGATGTTCTTCCCACAGCGGCCTTTTTCCGCGCGCTCTCTGAGAGCCACGGGGTCCGGTGAGGCACGCAACGGTGTTGAGAAGTGGCTCAGTGCCGAGGGTGGCGTTGAGGAGTACATGGTGAAGACCATGAGGGCTGAGGTGAAGAAAGGCGCCATCGACGCGTCGAACGGTTATTGACAAGAAGACGACCAGATGAAGCGAGCTGCCAAAGGGTGGTGTTTGATCTGCTCAAAGCCTTGATTGGTTCGACGAAGTGGTCACATTGGTTCGGGGGAAGACACTGTCGTCAATGCAACACTCGCAAGACCTCGTCAGGTCCACGGTTCACAAGGCTTCAGTCTGGACTTTGAAGCAAATCCTTTTATTTTGCCTTTTTTCCAGCCAGTGGCCCTGCTTCCTTGAATATAACATTAAATAGGCGCCTACTCAATTGAGTAAGGGCAAACTTGTACGGACGAAGCACTCGCCCTATTCATTTGGTTCCCAGATTATTTTGAAGCTTTATTGGATTGTTCCAAAGTCTGTTTGAGCCGCGTAATCCAACATGTCTTGGACCATGTCCTTCAGCCTTTGAGAAGGGCCGCCTTCTCAAAGAGCTGCGCAGGCTGGGAGACCTATGCGCTTGAGTCTGACCGCAAAGAGTGGGTACGGAAGCAGTACTGCCAGGCCTTCCTTCTCCTTCTCCTGTCTCAAGTTCTTGAAACATCTCCCGAACCCGCAGGAAAAAGGCCGAACCCCCTGCCATGCGGCCGTGCGGGGTGCCGGTCTTTCTGGTGATGCAGGTGATGATCACTGTGGGGTCCATCTACTGGACCCTGGAGACCGAGGAGGTCTTGACGGCCAGCGATGGGAACAAGGCCAGGAAAGGACTGAGAAACCAGTGAAACCGGTGAGACGTGTGGGATTCACGGCATGAAGAATTCTGCCGCTCAAACCCCTAGAAGCTTCTTGTTCCCAATAGCTTCTTGCTCCGGGTAGTAAGGCCAGGAGCCCCTAGAAGGCCCTGGAAGCTTCTTGTTCGGATGATCGCTCAGTCCGCCGAATCTGATGTTAGATGTCCGAGAGAGTCCAAGAGGCTTACGCTGTCGAATGTACTGGGAACATGAGGAGTAGCCCCCCCAACGCCCCTTGTTGCCGGCGTTGGGACAACATGATCCATTCCAAGCGGAATTGACGGGTGGGTGAAATTGCTCTTTTGAGAGACCCCCCAGATGTACTTTCGACTCTTGTTTTTCATGTGCTGCGTGAGACTTGCAGGTGCAGCTCATGGGAAAATGGTACCAGAAGAACAAGACTCAGCTAGAAGGCTTGACTGTCGGGACCTTTGGAGTGGTGTCCAAGTCCGGTTCTCCAGGGCACTGTCGTGTCCGCTTAGGCCTGTGCGCATGGGATCTATTCGGGTCACACACCCGAAAAGAAGAAACAATGACAAAGCAAAAAGACGAGAACATTTAGAGAAGTTCAACAACGAGAAAAACGAGAAATGTATATTTAAAAGTCGATAAAAGTTGACAACCAAATCGATGCAAATTAGAGCATATATATGTAGGATTATGTAGGACTTTTCAACTTTTTTCCCGAAACAGTGTGGTCAGCGCCGTCGAGCAAAGCAAACGCTCCGGGGAGGCAGTTTGTGCGAGCCTGCGCAGTTGAAATGCACTTCGAAGATCTCGAGAGGCATGACTATGCCACAAATAGCAGCGAATTAGCGGCCCGCAGATGCAAGCACCCTCGATCAAACCCAGCCTTAACCCTTGCGGTAACATTTTCGGACCTTTGTGGTCACTTTGCGTGGCAGGCACAAGGGAGTCCTCGTGCTGCTGTGGTCTCTAGTCGACTTGTCCTGGCAGGTGCAGCACTTTGGACTTGGTGGTGGTACTCTGATTTCGTGGCAGGTGCTGTGAATCACCACGTTGGACATGTGTGTGCTCTCGTGTGTGCTCCAGAGTGCGGAAGTTGGCTTATCCGGCTTATCCACCCTTGCTTCTTCTTAACACTCTTTGGGGCCTCTTGCCGGGATACATGCTTCTTCTACCTGCTACACCTTTACGATTGCTTGACTTTGTTATTCTTTGTTCTTTTTTGTGTGTTGGCTTTTGTCGCTCGTTCGTCGTTTGTCTTGAACTTTTGAGGCTTTAGAGTTTAGGGGTAGTTGGCCAAACGAAGCGGAAAGAGCTCCTCTAAGAAGCTGCAAGCACTGGCCTGGTGGCACGGTGTGTCCCAAACTGACCACCACCCTTGTCCAAAAGCGGCGGAAATCAACATGTACACGAAAGTGCCTTCCACATACCTATCGGCCGCTGACGCCATCTCCAAAGATCCCCCAAGTGATCACAGTTATTTCATTATGTGTTTGGAACATGAAGACTAGCAGCCCAGCAGAGTTGAAGAAGGGCACCCAGGGACCTGGGTGCCTGCCCCCTTCATTCTCAGACAGGACACCAAGAAGGATTATCAGACAAGACAGTTTCCTTCGGAAGAACTTTACCACTTTGCCAACAAACACATTTGCAATTTGGGATCTTTCCGTCTTGGATTTTATGATACTTCAAGATGCTTCTCGTGTCATTTCAACAGGCTATTTGGGGTCCATGCGAGCGTGTGTTTGCTGTGCCGTCTTTGCGTGGAGATCACAATTTCTTGTGCTCAATGGAACCAGCAATCTGAGGAGCTGATCAGAGATAAGCTGAACAAACTCCAGCGCAAGGGCGTTGTGGCACTGGTCACGCAGGCATCGCCATGTGTTGGATTATCGTGAGCATGCATTTGGGGCAAAAGTAACTGCTGTGGGGTGCAGCAAGGGCACACTCAGAGTAGCTGATGTTACAGCAGCGGCGGCACTGTTGGGGCTTTTATACAGTGTAGAGGACAAGCGTGCACAATCAACTTGTTCCTTTTCTGCAGAATAGCTGGTCTTGTGATGATGATGACGATGACGATGACGATGAGGACGATGACGATGACGATGAGGACGATGATGATGATGATGCTGCTGCTGATGAGGAGGAGGATGATGATGATAATAATAATAATGGTAATACTAATTATATCAGGACACAAGTGCATCAAGTTGTGGGCCCTTCTGGTTTGGACAATGCAATTCCAGTGACATAAAAGCATTGGAAGGATGATTGTGTCACTCAACTCAGTCACCACTCTAGAGACACTGATGGTGCTTTTCCAGTCTAGCCCCAAATCTGCCGTCCATCAGGATGTGCACAATCGTGACATCATCCAGGACAAGAGCCTGCCCCACTTTTCTTCGCTTTTGGCAGCATTTGTTTTCTCCGATGTGTGCCTTCATCCACCAAGGTCTGGCAGTGCAACTCCTGGGGGTGATTCTGGGTCCCAGATGAAAATCCCAAGGTTTTTGAACATCACAGATGACAATCTGAAGGTTTAATTTGTTATTTTATGTGGACAACTTCTTTCTTCAGTGGCTCATCTCGGCTCCAAGCATGCAAGGATTTGTTCGACAACAAGATCACCAGCATGCAAAACTTCAAGTGGCAGCAGCAGCTCAGGCCGGTGATAAGGACACTGATCAGAGGCCATAACGTTTTCACATGTTGATACGGAGTCTTGACTCAGCTGAGTCAATGTATATAAGGTCTTTGAAGATAAGCTGAGTGAGGAGACCAAGCCACCAAGACTTTAAACCGGGTTTGAAACAACTCTGCATGCACATGCGCCTGAAATGCTGCAAGCCACTCGTTCTGGCCCGTTTGACTGCCTGTTTTTGGACCATGGCAGGTACTATTGGGACGCGAAGCTGGACGGGGACCATGGCGATTGCTGCATTCGTCAGGTGGAGAGGGAAAGAACATCACGCTTTGCAACTTCTGAGAGTTCTTTTTTTGTCCCAGAAGTTGCAAGATTCGGACCTGGTTCTATTAACTTTTGATGTGACATTTTTGGGTGTCCCAGCATCAAGGACTCGTTTTTTGATGTGCAAGGTTTTTTTGACGTCCCATGGAAAAACGTTTGTGCAAGTGCAAGTTGTGCAATGTCCATTGATGTGCAGTCGGAAAGCACACAGCCTGCATTCTGCAAAGGGGAAGTCAGCCCACCATCTTGGCAGGTGGATGCCTTCATCATGTATGGCCATGAGTACATGGGTGCCTTTGGCATCCTTTGGCTTGAAGTTCGTGAGAGCGCAGCAGGCAGCATTGTTCACCCCCCAATAAGTAAGCCCTTTTTGTGCGTTTTGGGAAGCACTTCGGGGATCTCAGACCTGGTAGTGATCAACGCCCTTTGACGGATCAATTCCACGGAAGTGCTTGCGATTCTCTTGTCTCAAGATGTTCGTGTGACAAACATGCACAGAGGACTCAAGCCTTGTGCGTTGGACTTGAGTTTTTGTCTTTTCCTCCTTCTTGATCCTTCCTGCATTTCGGCTAAGTCTTGTGCTCAAGCCATTCACGTGAAAGAACCCGAAGGACAGCTTTGCCGGCTTTCTGTCAATCATGTTTGACTTCAGCTGCACATCTGCCTGCAACCCTCCAAACCCTTCGGCCAACACTGTGAAGGTGAACCTGGATGACCTCTCCAAACGCGCAGAGGAAGCCGGGGCGGCTTCTGCCGAAGCCAAGAAGAGACTTGAAGAGGAAGCGGCTCGCAGCAAGGCAGAAGATTTGAAGAAGGAGGAGGCAGCTCGTCGAGAGAAGGAAGCTGAAGAGCGCAGGAAGGAGGGGGAGCTCCAACGTCAGGCGGAGGAGAAGGCAGCTCAGGCGGCCAAGGAAGCTGCTGCCGCTGCCGCCGAAGCTGCTGCCGCTGCTGCCGCGGAATCTGAGAGGAAGCGTGCCGAAGAGGCGGAACAGGCAGCTGAGGCAGCTGCACGCAAGAACGAAGTGATGGCATGGCTCAAGAAGCAAGGCTTCACTGGAGTGAACAACCCCAAGAAGTCCCTCTTCAGCAGCACCTACCCCTTGCACAAAGCCGCTGAAGCTGGCAATGCCAAGATTGTGGGAGGGCTTCTGGAGCAAGGAGCCAACCCCGCACAGAAGAACTCTGCTGGAAAGACAGCACAGGAGGTGGTGATGAAGAAGAAGAAGGCCGACTCTCACAAAGAGGTGCTCGCTTTGCTTTCGTCTGCCACCGGTCGCACATGAGTGGCTGATAGTGGAGAGCGAGCCAAGCAACCAGTCATCATGGCAGGCGGTTCATGATCTACATATTATAGACACATGATTTTCTTGTGTACAAGTAAGAACCGTGTCGCCTTTGGTACGGTGACCGTGACATTGGGTTTTCTGGCTCGCTTCATCTTTTTGGCCATTTTTGAGGTCCAAATGGGATCAAATCCAACGTTGTCAGCCCCCCTTTGCCCGGAATGGCCAATCGGGTGCTGACGTTCTCAATTTGTCTATTGTCCTCTGCCCCAAGCGGCGGGGGGTGCGTCA